TTCTTGGTGTCATTGGCCTCAGGGGGGGGAAGTCGGGTTGGGGAGATTCATGCTCTCGTACAGCGCAAGGCTTTCTGCTCTATTGGTCGTGGTGATAGGTTCGTTTGTTTGCAGCAATTTCCTTTTCTGGCGAAGAATGAGACTGCTGCTTCCTGGAGGGGTCTTGGCTTGTTGATGCTTGATTGGTCAGGCTGGGGGTGCATCATATGTTGTGTCCGGTTGTGGCTCTCCGCCGTTATTTGCGCGCCACAGCCTCAGTGACCGGGGACGTGCTTTGGGTTGATCCGGTTTCTCTTCATCCCTGTTCTAGGATTCGAATCTCTCAGGTCGTCCTCAGGGTTATTCGGTCTAGCCAGCCTGCAGTCTATCCCTGTGCCCATGACGTTCGTAAGTTTGCTGTGTTGGCTGCCGTCTTCAGTAATATGTCCTGGGCTGACATTTGGGCACGGGGTTTTTGGAGGTCAAGCAAGGTCCTGGCTGCACACTACCCCGTTAATGTTCCTGGGCCTAGTTGGGCCTGTGTCGCCTTGGGTCGGCGGTTGCAGCCTGTTGTCTCGACTTCGAGTTGAGGTGCGAGCACCGACAGTTTCCCAGGTAGGTCCCTCTAGTTTTTGTCTTTGGTGATGTAGTTCCGGGGAGCCAAAGGAGCTTCCCCCAGAAAACCATCATTGAATGTAATGAAATGTCATTTTCTGTGTGAGACCTGCAGGCTCCCCGGCAACCCCCCTTACTCCCCAGTCGTCGGCGTTTTTTTTGCGTGTTTTGACATTCAGCCTCGAGCTGGAGGGTGGACTGCCAGCGCAGTGGGTCTGGGGCTCCCCCCTTCCTCAGGAGGGGGAAGGGGGGAGCCTCATCACCAGTAGAGGGTTTGTATTGTTTTGCCTACCTTTCTGGGTGCTTTCCCTGGTCGATGGCAGAAATGACATACTCTAAATGTAGAGGGCTCATATGGCCATTGCTCCCTGCGCCTCTCTGAGGAGGCCAAGTTCTAGCTTGTGGTCCCCAGTAGGCACAGAACTCACCTAACTGATGACTCTGGATAGCTTCATAGCTTCAGGGAGCCTCTAGAGCTCACCTAGAAAATGACATTTCGTTAAATTCAATGCATTTTTTTTTTTATGTAGCTTTTCAGGGCTTGGCTGAGTTGGGTGACACCTTCCACTTAGCAGTTTCAATGCTGTTGTTGGTGCTGAAGGGCCAGTCAGAAAAGTGTGTTCTCTGAATAACAAATTTTTTATTTTTTCCCATGATATACAGTAGTGTAGTTAGTAGTAAGCGCAGTCGAGTTTCAGCGAAAAGGTATTGGGTTCAATTCCTGTGGCAAGACAAAAGTGTTTTGGTGATGTTTTCTTTTACCTGATGCCTCTGTTCAGCTAGCAGCAAATAAGTACTTCGTTTACGATCGTAATCTGTTCCCAGAGATGCGTTGTCAGCCAAAAAGTTGTCAACCAAAACAAATTTACTCATAAGGTATAATGTGAATTGTATTAATCCATTCTGCACCCCCAAAAATATTAACTTAAAAATGCATTTTATACAGAATACTACTCATATTTTTCATACACAAAACAATCAGGAATAAATATAAACTATAATTAAAATAAGTGAACATTTAACTGCACTTTAATTTACTGATGACTTGGTGGCGTATGACAGACGATGAGGAGGGAGGGAGGAGCAGTGTTGGTGTATGAGGAGGGTGAGGTGGAGGGGGAGATGGTGAGACCATCCCCTGCTCGCATTAAACTCTTTTGTATCTGCATCACTGGTTCAGATTTTCCTTTCAAACATTTCACTACCTCTGTTATGTGGCAGCCAGTCAGAACCAGTCACTTAGTCACAAGTCAGTCAAGCATTCACAGTCAAGACCAGTCACAGGCAGTCATAACCAAAGGCAGTCAAGCATTCACTGTCAAGACCAGTCACAGGCAGACATAACCAAAGGCAGTCAAGCATTCACAGTTGTGGTAGCAACCAGTTAGGCATTTAGTCATTCAGCCATTTACAGTCAATCAGGCTTTCACAGTCAGTAAACAACAAGACTTTAATGTCATGCAGTCTGCCTCCTGGTCCACCAGCTGGTAGCAACGAAGACTATATTAATACCGTCCTGATGTAGCTGGGAGGGTAAACCTGGGGGGGGGGGTGTAGAGGGGGAGGGTCCTGGCAGGATGAGGTTTTGGGGGTAGAGGGGGAGGGTCCAGTGGCAGGATGGGGTTATGGGGGTAGAGGGGAGCGTGCACTGTAGGGGATGAAGGTAACGGGGAGAGTCCATTGGCGGGGGAGGGGTGAGGTGTGGGGGGATGAAGGTAGTGAGGAGGATAAATTCACAAGGGCCGAGATGAGGATTCGAACTTACGCCTGGGATAATCCCAGATGCTGCCTTAGTCGATTGTGCCATGACATGGTCAAAAGAATTGCAACCGGAAGTTCTACTGACCTAACTCGGATCCTGCAGCCTCTCCGAGACAGAAACCAGGGTTTTACACAATTCCCCCCATGCACTCGGGCTCTATCAACACGCTGTTCTACCTCTTTGCCCTTACTTCAGTACACACAGAAAAAGGTGCAATCGACTAAGGCAGCGTCTGGGATCATCCCGGGCGTAAGTTTGAACCCTCATCACGGCCTTTGTGGATTCGTTCATTTGATATATCATGCTATTGTGATTTCTGTGTGTAGTGGGGAGGGTCCAGTGGCAGGATGAGGGTATGGGGGAAGCGGGGGAGGGAGCTGTGTGGTGGACAGAGGTCCACCCCATCATCCATCCAGTCCCCCGTCATCATCCATCCATCCATCCATCCATCCACCCCCTATCCATCCATCCAGTCCCCTCATCATCCATCCATCCAGTCCCCTCACCATCCATCCATCCGGTCCCCTCACCATCCATCCATCCGGTCCCCTCACCATCCATCCATCCGGCCCCCTCACCATCCATCCATCCAGTCCCCTCACCATCCATCCATCCAGTCCCCTCACCATCCATCCATCCAGTCCCCTCACCATCCATCCATCCGGTCCCCTCACCATCCATCCATCCGGCCCCCTCACCATCCATCTGTAGCGAGTAGATAATATACTCGCTCTAGATGGATGGTGGAGCGAGTATATTATTGGGATAATCTACTCGCTACACATCCATCCAGTCCCCTCACCATCCATCCATCCGGCCCCCTCACCATCCATCCATCCGGTCCCCTCACCATCCATCCATCCGGTCCCCTCACCATCCATCCATCCGGCCCCCTCACCATCCATCCATCCAGTCCCCTCACCATCCATCCATCCGGCCCCCTCACCATCCATCCATCCAGTCCCCTCACCATCCATCCATCCGGTCCCCTCACCATCCATCCATCCGGTCCCCTCACCATCCATTCATCTGGTCCCCTCACCATCCATCCATCCGGTCCCCTCACCATCCATCCATCTGGTCCCCTCACCATCCATCCATCCAGTTCCCTCACTATCCTGAGACCCATGGCATGATATATAATACGAACTTTACTGTTCAGAAAACAAAAAAAAACAACAGAAAAACAATGAAATTCTTTACAAAGAATTCAAGATCAGTCGTCACTATGCAGGATAGACTTGTAAACAAACTGAGAGCGTCTTGCTCCTCGCCCGCAAGCACCACCTGCTCGTTCGACCCATACGTGTATGAACAGACATCATCTTCCAAGTAAACCATCGTGTATCAATTCAAATTTTACAATGAATTTGATGTCGTTTTCCAAAAAATTTGTCCTCTAGGGCAGTCATCAACCGAGGTTCCACTGTACTCTATAAAAAAAAATAAGGCATTTTTATATATGGAAAGAGCATGTTTTTTTTACTAGAACTGCATTAAATGTTTTTCAATCCCTAAATCGAGCCTCACGAAAGACTGCAAAACAGTAAAACAGGTTTGAGCGGGAGTCTACTGTACTACTGAGCATGCTTGACGTACTTTGTAATACAAGACTGTTAAGTACTGTACTCTAGGCTTCTTAGTTAGGCCTATGGGTACATAGAGCAACTAAATTATTACTGAATAACCTAACTATACAGGACAAATCTTGCACACCACTCATCCATTCATATACCATGCAATGCTGTCCTAGTTGATTTTAAATTATATAGATAGAAAAGTACTGGAAACATATTTGTAACATTCATCAGATCAAAGTTGGGCTATGCAGCTGTGGTGTTAGTAGCTTCAACTGAAGAAACATATCATCTAGTTAGAAAATGTGAGGCTTGCTACCTTGATGGTATTGGAAATACTGGATATGACCTAATAGCAAGGGTAACATAATTAGTGCTTACCACCCTGCATACTTAGAAGGAAATGGGGATACAGTACATAACTTATCGTAACCTTTAACCCTCAAACTAAGCCCAAAGGTTCAAAATCTCTGCCCTATATGTGGCTAAGAGTAAAAATAAACATTTGAAAGTGATAGATTTCTATGCAAAATTCTACAATAGCAAAAATTTATTTCTTATCCATAGTTGTAGTGTTCTCACACAAGATGAAAAATGTAGTGGAAAGTGATCCGTGGAGCCCCCTTCCCACATGATGCCATCACTTTTGGCCTTGTCTATTTCCTAATCTGTTGTATTACATTTAGCATCACTATCCGAACATTAATATACCCTTAGTTCTGAAAAATTTGTGAATATTTTGGTGGTGTCAATGGGTGAATGTGTGTCATAGTGGCTATCTTGAGGTCGGTAAAATTGGTTGGCTGTGGGAAGGTGAAGGGTACTGAGACCGAAGATATCTTTTCCAAAGATGGCAGGCAATTGCCTGAGTGCAGGAGATACCAGGCTTCAGTTGATGATCGAAAATAACATGGGAAGGATGTAAATATCACATGACATTTGAAGCAACTCTGAGGCACACATTATGTGATGTGCAGAGCAGCATAAGGGTTAAACCTTGATCATCTTCATATGACTTTCTCTGTAGGGTACTGGTCAACATCATATGATGTTTTTAATTTTCGCAGCAGTGTTTGAAGACTGAGGTGAACCATATGGTTTCATGAGTTGCCCATAGGCATCAATGGCATCACCCTGCAGTTACATGAGGCCTCTCGCCACTTCAGTGCCCCTACAATCTTGATGGCAGATGCACTTCCCTCCAGCCCCCGCTTCGGTCAGCATCATATGATTTTCTCTATAAGCATAAGGCATCGGTCAACATCATATGATGTTTTAATTATTCATGTAGACACATGTCCCTCCATCTGCTTCGGCCAGTATCATGGGATGCTCTGTAGAAGTTTGGGGCATCGGTCAACATCATATGATGTTTAAATTTTGTGTGCCAGTGTTTGAATACCGAACTGCCCCTAGACATCATAGATATTAAAATATATGATTTTTGTTTGTAGTTTCCTTACTTTTGCATACAAATCTATCACTAAAAGCACTTCCAGGGGTATGTAAAGATAGATTAGGACCTCATTACTGTACTTCAGCTGCTGGTACAAAATCTTTACATTTGAAATTGTATTGAACGTACTGTAAAGTATATGTTTTTCATCCATTCATTCATTCATTCATTCATTCATTCATTCATTCATTCATTCATTCATTCATTCATTCATTCATTCATTCATTTATTCATTTGTTTATTCATAATTATTATCCTTACCACATTTCCCACTCTTATGGGATGGGGAAATTTTATACATTTTAAAAATTCAGTACTGTTTGGTAGCTTGGTTGTAGAAATACTGTCCACTAAAGGGTTAAACAGAGAGTAGCAAATATTGCAGCACCATCTGTTGAAGCTTGTGTGACAATAGTATGTACAATACTTGGCCAACACAATGACCAAAGTAATACATATATGAAAACTGCAAAATGTTTCATTTATAGAATGATTAACAAGCATGAAAATTTTTTGCCTGAAACACTACAGTATTTTTGCGATGCAATTGCAGTGCCCTGCAATGCTGCTATTTACAACAATTTGCCAAACTTCATACCTAAATGCAGTAATGTGCTAGAATGAAAATTGCTTTGTAGACGATGTCTTCACACTTGGATACAGTAAGGAGGTGGCGGTGGTACACAAACAATTTGTACAGCTAGATGACCACTTTTTTTTTTTTTTAGGTCAAAGGTATACTTCATTATTCCCATGCCTTAATACAGTATTTGTGATTCTTTAGGCATGATTTGCTGCATTTTAAATATTGTGATGTATAAAGAGTAAGAAGTATAGGTGTTACATGCAAAGATGTTAATCAAACTAATGTATGTGAAACTATATAAGAAAAATATTGATAGTGAATGAAGGTGTAGGTTTCAGTCAACAGTGAAAGTCTACACTGTCCACAGGGAGTGAGAGTGAAGTGCTCTAGTAGTGTGGAAGAATAGTTTCAGTTTGTGTGATAGTACAGTATATAAGCTGAGCATACATGAGAGTGATATGAAGGCCTACATTGTTCCTCATCTCTCATATCTCTCACATAAAGGGATTTGTAAATAATAGTTACAGTATATATTTAGATTTTTCTAAAATACAGAGTATAATATGAGTTGAATCTTGAAAAGCACAAATGTTTTCCCAGTTGTATATGAATTTATATTTAGAACTATGTACTGCATAGGCAGTGATTTTGTGGATAAATACAGTGTATTGTGAATCTTTATATTTAATGATTTCTAGATAAGTTCAAAAGATATACATGTACCACAAAGTCCTTAACCCCTTAACTGCGTTGCCTCCAAATGTGACACCCCCGCAGTGCTCAGGAAATAAATTCTGTGGAAAAAATTCTTTTTTCTTTTTAAAGTGTCAAAAACCCTTCCCTCAGTATGGGTATGTAAAAAAAAAGTCGAAATTGTACTTACTTTGGCTGCTATGGGGTCCAGAAGTTGGGGCGTGACGTCATCATTCCCCGTGCGCCCGTGCCGTAAGCTCTCAGGTGCGGTGGGGCACTCGGGGCGGGGCGCGCGAGTTGCCGCGAATATATTTTCATTCATTTTTTGTGCACCTTTCCAAATACATTTTCATGTTTTTATGTGCCAATTCAATGTATAATGAACACGTACACTATAATATCGCAGTACAACATCCGTACTGTCCGTAGACACTGTGTTACGTGCATGAAACTTGTGTACACATATGCAGCACATATTTACTATGTATCATGCTAATTTGTGTATATATACAATCTATTTACACACTATACACTGTCACACACTATATACATTCACCATCAACGCATTCAGAACACCGCGTAGAAGCTGCTTCGTATGAGCCAATAGCAGCTACCTCATATGGGCCAATAGCAGCTGCCTCGTATGGGCCAATAGCAGCTGCCTCGTATGGGCCAATAGCAGCTGCCTCGTATGGGCCAATATAAGCTGCCCCGTATGGGCCAATAGCAGCTGCCCCGTATGGGCCAATAGCAGCTGCCCCGTATGGGCCAATAGCAGCTGCCCCGTATGGGCCAATAGCAGCTGCCCCGTATGGGCCAATAGCAGCTGCCCCGTATGGGTCAATAGCAGCTGCCTCGTATGGGCCAATAGCAGCTGCCTCGTGTGGGCCAATAGCAGCTGCCTCGTATGGGCCAACAGCAGCTGCCTCGTATGGGCCAACAGCAGCTGCCTCGTATGGGCCAATAGCAGCTGCCTCGTATGGGCCAATAGCAGCTGCCTCGTACGGGCCAATAGCAGCTGCCTCGTGTGGGCCAATAGCAGCTGCCTCATGTGGGCCAATAGGAGCTGCCTCGTATGGGCCAATAGCAGCTGCCTCGTATGGGCCAATAGCAGCTGCCTCGTGTGGGCCAATAGCAGCTGCCTCGTATGGGCCAATAGCAGCTGCCTCATATGGGCCAACAGCAGCTGCCTCGTATGGGCCAATAGCAGCTGCCTCGTATGGGCCAATAACAGCTGCCTCGTATGGGCCAATAGGAGCATTTGGCCGTGAACGCATTCAGAACACCTCGAGTGAGAGCAGCCACACCCAGCCAGTCTCCCTCACTCCAACATCTTACTCGCCAACATTGCTCCTCCCACCATATTGTTATAGTTCTTATTACACATGTTCTATATACCTATCTACATGTTTTATTTACCAGAACTATGCAAGTAAGCCGGTATTGTGTCCAAACAGTACAGTGGCCACCATACACTGCATGAAAAATCACACAGCAGACGACGCTACGATTATGTCACCTCCCTCACCAAAATAGCTCCTCTCAACATTCTCCTGTTGCTGTTCTTACACTATATACACACACACTATATGCCCATGTACATATGTGTTGCCCATAGCGAACCACTAAGCTAGTATGGTGAGCAAAACAAGAGTGGCAGCCACACACACACAATGAGGCTACCTCAATTCTCGCCCTCCCTCCCTCATCAAAATTCCTCCTTCCACAATACTACGCACAACGCTAATTATAACCACAATCCTGCTATTATCACAATCTTGGTCACTAATTCCTGTAAATGAATAAATGACCACACGTTTATTTTGAAAAGGAACCTAAGAAATCATTTGAAGATTCCTAGATGAACGAAATAATGCTGTGGTGCTGTGGCTAGCGCTGTGAACATCGTGAACAGCATTGAATCACTGATATTTGAACATTGTACCCAGTCATTATCACACTCAGGCTCTAATATAACACTATCATAGCTAAATAATACAAGTTATATATATATATTGACATTATTAGGCGATGCTGTGGTCACATGCTGAACAGCAGTGCTGTGCGCTCATGCTGCGAGCGCCAGCCTTGGTTGCTCACACACTACTGAGGCTCCCACACCCGGGAATGTGAACCACGATTTTTTTTAAAGATGGCGTCTGTTTACAAGAGCCCTGAGGAACCTGATGTGAACCCCATGTAGCCGCGGGAGATTTGAATGGAACGTGAAAAATACAAATACCCAGAGGCGCGTTGCGCAAACCAGACGTGAGCCTGCAGGCGCGTTGCGCAGTTTAAGGGTTAAGGGTATACAGTATTTCTTATTGTGCCTTTGTATAAAATAAAAAAAATGCAACCACTAATTACTGGTAATTAATGAATCTTTTATCAGACAAAACACTGAATTGAGAGTGTACAACTGTGTGTCGGGCATGGAGCGGCCTGTGAGGTGGGGAGAGATAAATGAACACGGGATATCAGCCTTGCGGAGGAATGCCATGAATGATGTGGTCTGGTATCCAAATCTTCACTTCACTCAGCACAAGACACTCAATACCATTGCCGTCCTTCTGCAACACTGGCTTCCCGCATACCTCATGGATGCTGCTGCCAGACTTGCAGGAAAACGACCCATGTGAGTATAGTCTGGGAAGGTGGCAAACATCTTTACAGATGATTAGTTTGTAGTTCTATTAATCTTCAAATTTTTTATTATGAAAATGTCTACATCTTGTGCTTTTCCAAACATTTAATCCCCTGGCTCTGATGCATTCAAGGCATACATGTTAAGTTTATAATATAAAATGTACAGTTAAAATAGCATGGTCAAAGTATTTTAACTAAAGTAATACAAATTCAACATTGGTTGTATCTCATCTTTAACAGATATAAAAAAATAGAGGTTTGTTTGGTATTCAGTTAAATAGGTGTTGCCTCAAATGAACATGCAGATACACAAGCCATAGAAGCCATTCAAACTTTTACAATCATCAAAGAATCCATCACATATTCACATTTTTACTCAATAATAAATAATGCTGGATTCAAACACTAAAGAGATAAATTGCTAGCAACAACCACGATAAATTGCATGACATCATAAATTAATTATCTGTTTGTGCTATTGACTATCAACATTACATTGTTCAGCTTTTTTCATACTGGTAGTAGAATGCCAATCCTTTCCAAATAATCATAAAATTTGCTTCTCAATTTCTCTAAACCTTCAATGTATCAGACTCTTTTGATATGGGTAAACTTATGCCATTCTGCTCCTGTATTAACATCCGTAGTATTATATAACATATATATATATATATACAGTACAGGTATATCTAATTTTTATTAATATGGGATTTGCATAGTGCTGTATAACTGTACTGGATAGTGTATTTCTTTATTTTGAAACTGATTAATCACATGACTCTTACCTCCCCTTTAAGATGATGATTCATATGATCCTTTCTCCTCACTTGTGAAATACCTTCACGTGTAGATGCAACTCTTTTTCTAGAGGGAGCCTCGTCAGCTCCTCAGAGCTATCCAGGCTGATATGCTAATGTCAGACTTTGGCATCAGTCATGTGTATGGAGTTCTGTGGGCCTACCAGGGACCACGAGCCAGAACCTGGCCCCCCCGCAGAAGAGGCACGAGGAGCAGTGGCCTATAGAAACCCCCGTGGGGGTGGAAGCATTCTATGTCTGCCATCAACCGGGTCAGGCACCCAGAAAGGTAAGCATCCCAAAACAAACCCCTATTCTGGCTAAAAATTGCTACTGAAAAGCCGAACTAGTGGACAGAACTCCCCAAACAAAAACGAGCAAACCTGTATGACGTCACCATGTTGCCGCGCCGCTGTCTGCGCAGCTCCCTCCTCTATGGGTGGGGAAGGGGAAGCCCCAGACCCCCATGCCGGCTACCCAAGACCCCAGTTCTGAGGCTGATGTGCTAGACAACAGTCGTGTGCTCTGGCTCCAGACTTGGTCTCAGCTCTGTGCCTTGTGTGTGGTAACTGTTTTATAGGTGGTACGCGAGCCAGGAGTCATTCTTCAGTACTCAGGCTGCATGTGCCTAGGGTTCCCTTCCCTAGGTACCCAGTAAGTACTGCCCTTGGGGCTTGGGGCCACCTTCCACAAGTTCCTTGGGGTCTGCCTCTGCTAGGCCATTTACTGCTTGGTTTTCGGCCACCCTTTGTGTACTTACGGGTGTTTTGTCTCCCTTGTTCGCCTTGGGGTAGGGGGCAGTTTACACTAGTAGGGGCGTAGGGTACTACACAGCTTGTTTTCACTAATCATAGCGGCCGGCTCTGTTCCGCCTGAGTATGCTGTCCTCTTGCGGGGTTTTCTTTTTCTTTTTGTTTGCCTGCCTGGTGGGGGGTCTGCCTTAATTATTGCCCCCTGTGTACTGAATACTCTATTCAGGTGGTACCCCCTGCTAGGTCCCCGTATGTGTAGACATCTCAAGGGTTCAGTTCTTAGAAAGTTGTTTGGTACTTGAGCGCTGGTTAGCAGTACCCTGCCTGAGCTTTCCTGAGCGTGAGTTCCTTCTCAGAACCCTGGGAATCCCCATGGGGCCGTGTGGGTCCGATGGATGTGACCCCTGAGTCCCCCCTCGCTTTGTGCAAGTTCAAGGGTTGCTCTGTCCCCTTGTCTTATGGTGACTCTCACTTTTCTGGAGGGATCCCCTATGGCTCCTCGGAGCTATCCAGGCTGATATGGATACCCTAACTATTTTGCATCAGTTGATGTGGGTTGAGTTCTAGGCCTACTGGGGACCACGCGCCAGAACCTGGCCCCTCTCACAGAGGCACGAGGAACAATGGCCCATAGAAATGCACATGTGATTTGGAGCATTCTATATCTGCCATCGACCGGGACAGGCACCCAGAAAGGTAAGCGCCACAAAACAAACCCCTATTCTAGTTAACAATCAGAATAGGGGATTCTGTCCTCTCGTCAAACGAGTGGACAGAACTCCCCCCCCCAGGAAAATGAGCAAACAAGCACAACGTCACATGAGCCATGCCGCATGTCTGCGCAGCTCCCACCTTCCAGGGAGGGGGAAGGGGGAGTCCCAGACCCTTGCACCGGCGATCCCTCACCCCAGTTCCTCGGCTGATGGGATCATGCATAGTCACGTGGCTCTAGCTCCAGTCTTCTCTCAGTGATGTGACTTGTTTGCAGTGCTGCTTTTATGGTGGTCGTGTGAGCTGGGAGTATTATTCTCAGGTACTCGGGCTGCATGTGCTTAAGGTCACCTTCCTTGAGTGCCCTGTAAGCACTGCCCTTGGGGCTTGGGGTTTTCTTCCACAAGTCACCTTGGGTCTACCTCTGTTGGCTTTTCGCTGCTTGACGTTTGGCCGCCCCGAGTGTTTGGGGGTTTCCACCCTTGTTTGCCTTGGGGAAAGTGGTAGTTATTGCACTAGTGGGGCGCAGGGTACTGCGTAGCTAGTTTTCACCTATGACAGCGGCCGGCTCTGTTCCTTCTGGGTACGTTGTCCACTTGTGTGGTTTTTCTTTTATATTTGTTTTTGCCTGGTAGGGGGGTCGGCCTTGTGTTCTCCCCCCCCCCTTATATTAGAGTTCGTTTGTGTGGTGGCATCCCCTGCTTCGCCCTCGTGAGTGGACACGTCCCGTGGGTTCAGCTTTTAGCAGTTTGCTTGGTAGTTTGGGGCGCCAGTTAGCAGTGCCCTGCCTGGGATAACCCTTAGCAGACCCAGTCTAGGGGCCCTGGGAAACCCCCAGGGGGCACTCGGGGCCGATAGTGGAGACCCCTGCATCCCCTCTCGCTTTGTGCAGGTTTGAGGGTTGCTCTGTCCCCTTGTCTCAGGGTGACTCTCATTGTTTTTGCCTCCGTCGTGCTGCCTGTTGGGTCGGTGACACATTCGACCTCGAGTCCTGCGAGCTTTGTTGCTTGTTTGTGACTCCATTCACCCAGACTGATGATGATTTTCTTCACGTGCAGGCAGCATGCGTATTGCAGGATAGGATGTTGCAACGTGCTCTGGTTTGTCGCTTCCCCGGATGCCCCGATGCTGCCCTGCTTGTGTAGGGACCCAGACTTGGGGGTTTTGGTCGCTTCGGCCTTGGTTCTTCCACACCCCCCCTTGTTTTTCCCCCTCCTGCTTCCGGCCCTTACGCATCTGCAGGCTTCGGGGTCGGGGCGGGGTTAGAGGTTCTGAGACTTGGGCAATTTCGGGGGTTGCCCCGTCCGGGGTAGCTGCGGAGGCATTCGAGTCTGTTCCTCCGGCTGATGCTCCGGGGTCTGACCAGTGGGCCCCTTCTCTTTCAGCTCTCTCGGCTGCCCCGGCTTTTTCTTGTGGGGCCAGGGCTTTGGAGGTCGACTCGGCCCCTGGACAGTTTTGTTCTGGACAGGTTGGGCTCCTTGTAGCCGGTTGGGCTACTTCTCACCTTGTTGGGCTACTTCTCGCTTTATTGGGCTACTTCTCGCCTTGTTGGGCTACTTCTCGCCTGGTTGGGCTACTTCGCGCCTGGTTGGGCTACTTCTTGCCTGGTTGGGTTACTTCTCGCCTTGTTGGGCTACTTTCTTTCGCATCCTGCGCATGCGCCGTGGGAGTTTGGTTTAGTTCCGGGCGGTGTGCACACGTGTTCTGCTTCCATTTCTCTCGGGGGGCTGACGTTACGCCTCTCGCTCTTTTCTTAATCCAATCCGTGCCCCGTTGCTTTGGGGGTGTTCTGGAGTGCCGCTGTGGGGACATCATGTGGTTTTCCCTGCGTTTTCGGGTGGGGAGCCTCGTTCGCTGCTCCCCTCCTCTCCAGCATGGGCGCACTGGCTGCCTCCGGCGGATACGGACTCGAACGCTTGCATCATGGCCCTTCAGAGCCTATGTTCTGCAGGTGAGTTGGAGCGGTTTTGGCGTCTCCTTCGTCCTGACGCTGTTTTTGTTTTTGGGAGTAGGAATGGGTGTACATACGTACTTGAGAACGTGGACCGTATCACCCGAGGTGCCTACTGCAGGGCTATTAGCTCATACTGTGGCAGCTCTTGCTCTCTCCACCTGATTCCTTCCTCGGTTCACGGGTGTCTGCGGGTGGCCTCTTGTCCCTTCCGAGGCGGTTCCTGCCTGTACTCCTCCTGCCCCTCTCCTATGCTTGTCTAACCTTGCTTGAGTTCGGGGCCCCGCCTCCACCTTGTTCCGCAGTGCAACGGTGGGGGTGCCTGTTTGGTAGTACGTTTTCCTGTGTTGGAGGTTTTGTGTTCGCCTCCTTGTGTTTGCAGGTTGGGTTCTGGCTCTTTGTTTCCGCCTCTCTCCTGTCGTTTGCCTGTCGGGCGGATTCTGTGCTTCTTGGGCACTCATCTCTGCTCTTGGGGCTGTGTAAGGGGTCAGCCCATGTTGGGCTGCCTACTGTGTTCCTTTGATTGCCTGTTACACTGCACACGTTTCTTCTACCGTCCCTGTGACTCAGTTGGGTGCTCGGTTTCTGCCTGTGTCCCCTTGTGTGCCACTCGTGTACGATTTATCTATCTTCTCTGTCGCTTCCTCTGGGAGTGTGGTGACGTTTTGCTGC